TATAGGCGCTAATACTAACGACACACAGTACGGTCTATCACCAGTCAGTGCCGATTCTGAATACAACAATCATATCAGAAAGTTAAGTGAGAGACTCACATTGTCAGTGAATCGGAACAACTCCAATTTGGCCCGAATCAGGTATTGTATAACGTTGTATGCTAATATGCAGGGTACCACACATACACTTTAATACCAAAAAAAGCAAATCAATTATACAAAAATAAATAAATAAATAAATAAATAAATAAATAAATAAATAAATAATTATATGAATAACATGTATAAAATTGGACGGAAATCTGACAAGGTCCCTTGTTTTAATTGCATTATTTGCATATTTAAAAATAGTTTACATAATTAGGAGATCATTGACACAAGTGCTAAAATCGCTGACATTGTCGTCATATGAATAAATATCCACCAGTTTTTAATAAAAAGTTACATTTTGATTATGATGGAGTGTATAACCACTTGAATTGGGAATAGCTGAAATATATTAATTAGCTAGTGTTATGCAAATTAGTCTATATCTCTACTCTAATTATGTATTCAAAAGCGTTTCACTGCAACTGCCCACAACACAACATCTAAAAACTCTCTCTCAAAAAAATAAAATAGACCGAAAAATGTATATCGTTTAAAAGTATACTGAATGACCAGTGTCATTACGGCTCAGGGGTATGACTTCCTCTCACATTTTGTCAGTGGTGGCGCACTTTCGGCGAGAGTCGGAAATCCGGAAACAGTCAACTGTTTCAGGATAGGTGGGCGTGGCTACAACACGAGAAATATCCCAAATTTACTTGGATACGAGTAATCTTTTTCAGCAAAAAAATCAATAACTGCCGATTTCAATGGGACACAGATCTAAAATGGGAAACGTGATGGTGGGCATTGGACAGGCACTTTAGACGGATGAACTTGAGAACTACTTGCTCGATTGGCTTCAAATTTGGAACCATAACTTCAAACATGCATCTCCTGCAGTCCGACCTGGTATTTGGCTCTCTTGTTTATAGTTACTGTATATGTGGCCTCGAAATGATTTAATAAGCACGTATTATCTCATGAAACTTGACATGGATGGGAGTTAGTTGTGTGCCAACTCTATCTTTATGAACAAATTATTTAAGACGATGATGTCAGTTGTGAAGACAATAACATACCTGTGTTTACATAGTGATCACTTTTGTTTTTGAAATTGCACTTTATAAGGGGAATAATATGCACGAACACTAATAATGTCTGCAGAATGTGTGTAACCCCAATTACCAACGGCGTTTGTAATATGCAGAGATGTAACAATTGAAAGCAGTCGCAGATTAATCATTTGTTTGACATATGACTGTTTTTTATCGAGTTTAGTGAGCTTTTTTCCACATCAAGTTTGGTCTTTTTTGTTCAGTTTAGCCTTTTTCGCCGTGTTTAGTTGTTCCTATACAGTCAGTGTTTATTGTTACTCGACTACCCCAGTTGGGAACTACTTATTAAAATAGAAACAATCATTTGAGACGCAAATACATATGACCCACCACGAAACTTAACACACTGTAAGAACATTATCACTACGATTGGTGAGTAGTGTTACATTCTATGCTGCGAACGGTGTACATGCCTATATAAAAATTAAAACCAACTTTAATTTGAATACCCCGCTTGTTTACAGAAAGGAAATACGAAGATTTAGGTCTTCTGTTAACAGTATTATCCTTGCAAAGAACAACATTGTTCTCGGTGAGCGACTAACATACTCTTCAATCCAACGTGAGCATTTCCACATATCCGCCAAATTGTACAACATTCTCCCCACGGTAAGAAATTTACCACATATCTATAATCATTGCTTTCACCTCACTTTGAGATTCGAAAAAAAAAATACATCGGCTACGCAAGGTCTATGTATTATACCATCTTATAAGCCACGCCCTCTAGCGTCAAGCGAATCTGTGACGTCAGCCATCAACATTGAGCAGCGAGAGTGCCAGAAACATTGTTACATGTGGTGTGTAGCCCTTCGTCATTTACAGTCACATAGTGAAACTATAATAGTAAAGTATTTATTTCTATTGACGGATGACTACTGATTATCGACGTTATGAATAGCGCCTTTTATAACAAATTACTGTCACAAGAGCGCTTTGACACTAGAGGACGCAAATTATAGAATTTCTACGTTGCGTACCAATTGTCCGGGTATATTCAGCAACACTCTGATTCAGTGTATAACGTATTACGTAATATAATTAATATGTATTCTGTATTGTTTTTAACTACTTCCACTCAGACATCCAGTGTTGTTGATAGACGGCACAGGTCATGTAGCGTGGTTGGTAATAGTGGTATTATCCTAGGTAGCGGCTGTGGACGGAGAATAGACAAAGCCGAGTACGTTTACAGGTAAATTCTTCATACACAGTGTTAAATGTACTAGTAAGTAAAAAAAAAAACAGGCGTCTCTTGTTCCCACCTAGTGCATGTTTTGTTCCCAACTGTCGCTCTCTCCGATAGATTAAAGTCTTCTCGGGTTTGTATATGAATAAATGACACTGTCCCGTAATATAGCATTTTTCTGCTTTCATTCATTCATTCATTCATTCATTCATTCATTCATTCATTCATTCATTCATTCATTCATTCATTCATTCAGTCAGTCAGTCAGTCAGTCAGTCAGTCAGTCAGTCAGTCAGTCAGTCAGTCAGTCAGTCAGTCAGTCAGTCAGTCGAAAGATATGATAAACAGACTAGAGACTAACCCCATCTCGCTATATATGGTTTACTGATAGTATGTTTCATTACAGGTGTAATGCTGCCCCAATCAATCCACATGTAAAAGACGCTGGAAGGAAAAGCAATTTTGTAACATTTAACAGGTCAATTATGCACAAAAGGTAATGGTATTCGAAACTATTGGGGGTGAATAAATTGTGGTGGATCGTAGGCCAAAAAAGGTCAATATTATTATATGAACTTGTTCGGACACGTTCTATGTATTGAGGTAAATGTCTATTGATCATTTTTGAAAAAAGTTAATCAAAGATCACAAGAAGGACATAGAAGGACATAGAAAACATTTTTTGAGAAACAAATCATCTTTTGCCACTTTTTAAAACACAATTTTTGAAATAACCTAATTTGATCACAATACTATTACACACATAGTTTATGTCGTGTAACAATTTTGTGACGTCAAATTTACGTAGATGGTTGTCAAAAATGAAGTTAAACAAGACAACTGTTTGGCTTTGTAGTTGATCGTTATTTTAAACATAGCAAAAACAGTATATTTTATTACAGATTAAAATAATATTGCCTTGAATTGCACCCATTTAATGTTGTCGCATAATGAAGCGGTATACTGTTCAGGTGAACCACGAACATGTGAGCTCAGCAATTTGCTACGAAAGTATTAGTTTTGTGCTGGGCGACAGTGTCCGACATTGAATTTCAGTGTTGTCTCTTCCGACTTTTTAAGGAAGGTTTTGACGGGGGATGTAAAGCATTTTTGACATTTTTACATTCCATGATTGGGACCACGTTGCAGGGTTGTACAGTCATCACTTTAATGCGCCATGCTGACGTAAACCAGACCTTGTCAAACACAAAAACCTGCATACCTTATTCAGGGTCCCCAAAGCCTCATCACGATTTTCAAACTGTGGATTTTGGCTCCCAATACGAGTACATCTTTCCTATAATTCGCGCCCTCTAGCAACAATGTTTAGATTACGTGAATAACGGCCACGAAGAGTCGATATTGATTTGAACTTCGTCGCCATGAATAAAGATTATGTTCACGCGAGACTTCAATGTATCTATAAAATGACGAACAACAACACAACTAAATGCCGTTGTCGATTTGAATAGTGATTGCTTTCACACTGACAGGGATGTTTATTAGTTGTCTGAGGTCCTCTGTTGTACTCACCCAGAGTAGGGGGTACCACTCAGTGGTAAATCCAAGTTTCGTTTGAACTCGGATCCACCGATACAACAACCAAATTGAAACAGACTAGTTAATCGTTGACGTTGGAATTGATTTTCTTACCTCCACAGATATGGCGGACTTCGTACCGTACAGAATCGTACGAAACTAAAGAATGAAATCAACGGCCATAATCTAATATGGCTGCCTGTTTATAGTCAACCCAGTATCGCCAACAGCTACATTACCCTGGCCTATTTACTGCGTTATTTCAACATACCGGTGGTGGTTATGCACCCGACTCATATGATAGAAACACGAAGACATTGGAAGAAGTGGGGAATAAATAAAATAATGAGCACAGGTCAGAATGCCAGCAGTACATTACGTATCCGTTCAGTTGAAATGATAAAAGCTGTGTACAAAGTAAACAAATGGGCGGCCCAATGAAATTACGTTTCCCATGACGCACTGATGCAAACCCTGGTATTGCGGAGCCGCGCTTTAAGCAAGTCTATGGGAGTAACCTTAGCTCTTGTGTGTCGATTAACATCCTAATATCTGAAAATAATCAATTTCATGACACAAAATATACCAGAAATTACTTAAATACCACCACAAAAACTAAAAACCGACACAAGAAAAGTTATGGGCACACGGCGAGCCTACTTGCTATGACCGCCCTCTCTCTCCATGGTGGTATCAAATCATGTACCTCTCCATCCAATAACATGATGTGATGTTCCGGTCAGTATAGTCGTACAAGTGGTAATTTAAATAAACGCGATTCATTTACCGAATTTTACTATATGGAGAGGGGTGGTAGCTACCTTGAATACGGCTCGAAACAAAATAAAGAGCAGTGCGTTTTCTTTAATGGAATGGTTTATTCCACCGGGCGAAAACGCCATGGGAAGTATAGGGGGTTACGGACGCAATTGTAAAGAATCAGTATTGCAATATCAAAGTCGGGACTACTTTTTTTTTTTAGTTTTCGCGATCACGCTAAAAAGGCTGAACTGACAATTCCTTTTTTTTTCAAACAAAAAAGAAGTCCCGACTTTGCCATTCTATGTTGTAGTGTTGTCGTTCCATCCTTTCTTCAAGCGGGAGTAAACGACTTTATGAACGATGGTTTGTGTGAATGGAACTCATTTGTGTTGTGTTTTTTCATTACCATAGGTTTCTACCTGGTGTCAGTAGCCATTGAATTATGCGACGAAGTACAATTATACGGATTCTGGCCGTTTACCGTGTCACCGAGGGGAAAGCCCGTGTCCTACCACTATTACGATGATCTTAACTTTACAACTACTCACAATTTCTCAGCCGAGTTCGACGTCTTGGTGAAACTTCACGAGCTAGGAGTTGTGGAACTTAACGTTGACTGTCACTAAACAATTGTTATCGATTTATAGAAATTAATTTAAAAGATAGCCAGTGATTGGTACAATTCACTACTTATCAACAACCCCATAGCACCGCGATGTGGAATACCAGTCAATGTCTCGAACAACGGAGTGTTTCGGAAAGATGATCATCTGTGACGTTCATTTTCATAGTAGTTTAGACTAGTGTCCCCCCATGAAAAACACGTTGTAGTGTTATCACATACCGAAATAAATATTTACTTAACTGTTTAATGTTTGTGTACATAACTTTGTCCAGAATGGCTTAATTGTTTCACATTATCGTATATAATGTTGACTATAGAGAATGCATTGTTAAAACACACCAAACACAGTCACACATTTACTCATAAACTTATATGAATATGCATAACGCTTCAAAGTAACAATTTTTGTACGAGTGTACTTGTTCTGTATACACGTAGAGGGCGCTGTTAAGTAGACTGTTTGTACAATGAAATACGACCATAATACTGTGCTATATTCTATACATGTTTTTACACAAACTGTGTGAAATTTAGGTACATATGGACATAATATATTACATAATATGAAATACAACCTACATTTCTGTGGCAACAGCAAAGTCATAAATTGGGTACTCTGCATATGTACTCTTAATGTGCTCATAATCAAATAAATATTATTGTCAGACTCGGAAAATTGTTATTATAATCATCGCAAACAACTGATGTATACTCACATGCAGAATAAACTCAGATTAGCCTTTAGATTCTAGTAGAATCCCGTTTAAATGCATGTATCCACGCGACTGTCAAGGCAAACACTATGCAACGCCACCAACGTCAGCGATTTTTATCCCCCTTGACCCCAGGTGACCCCGGCCTCGTTACGAAGCCGGCTAAACCGTGAACTGGCTTATTGATTTATTTACCCAGTGTTCACAAAGACTGCTCAAAACGTTCAGTGGTGATGCATTATTTGGGCAGGACACTGGGTATGCATAACACTTCCAAGTAACAATTTTAAATGCAATCCTAAAAGAAATGGAAATAGTACTTAACACAGTTCCCCGGCGTCCGGTAAAACGATTACTCTAACTTGTTCGAGATAGTAATATTGTCCTACAACTTAGATGGCGCTGTTAAGCAGACTTTTTGTTAAGAGCGCCATCTTGTGAGATAATGCCATGAAAGTACATGTTATCATGGATAACACAATAGGTGAATTTGTTTGATTGTTACCATTGAGTGGTTTATTGTAATTGGAGGTTAATGACATTCATTTTCCTGACGTATGAATTCAAAATGACTGAAGGTCCACGTTGTTAACTCAAATCATTCTTAAATTCACAATAAGTATATCATTGGAGATGGCAATGCCAAATCCAAGAGGTACTAGTATACAGCACATGTATGCCAATCCACCGTATACCAGTAATTTCAACTCTCACAGTACATTGTTATGCATAAACCGACCGCCATATAGCTTCGTAGCTCTCATAGCTATATAACTATGTAGCATACGTGATTCTATCTCAGGCTGGTGAACAGAGTACTGCGTCAAGTGAAATTACATACTACAGGGACCGTAGAGGGTGTATTGCTAGATCATGCCATAGACAGACATTGCACTCAAACAACTTAGCAAAGATGGTTTTACTAACTGAACATCGTAGTATACGATGTATTCAACGTTAACAAATTCTTCTTTATACACTGAAACGAAAAGTAAAACTATAATCACATGTGTGGGTGTAATGAAATACAATTTGATTTGATTTTCACAGCGTCGTTGTGATGATAACTTGTCATTGATAGGATAAGACGTTAAGGTCGAGGGTTTAAGGTCAAGGAGCCAAGGCCACAAACAATCAAAATGAAAAAAAAAATTAAATAAAAATACAATTTTAAAAGTAAAGTGAATTTAGGCTGTTACGCAGCCTGTTACGCACAAGGTACTATGTTGTTGCGGTTATTAATTACTTTTTTTTCAACCCACACGTGTATTTATTTCAAAAAATAAGTTCATGATAACATTTATCACATGTCATACAGAAATTTATCTTTACAGGCTTTTCAAGTATAAAAGTATTGATATATTTTGTAATTAATTGTACAAAGAATTCTTTCTTCACATGTAGTTTCCATGGTGTTGCACGCCTCGATCAGGAAGTCGTTTGATTTATGTAAGTCAAGGTTTTAATTACTAATATATCCCTGTTATTGGCAATTGGGGTTTGAATTACTAATACGTCATTGCAATTGGCTGCATACGATTGTGGGAACGAATAAATATAACAAAATAAACAAAGCAAGTTAACAAATAGATAAATGTTTTATTTTAGTAAGCTATTCATGCCAGGTATAACATTGACTTTTTGCAATCATAGTGCAATTGCTGTCATTTAGAGTAAGCTGTTTTACTTTTCAGACCATATAATCGGGTTAGTGCTAGAAAAACGAGGCTCCATTATCGTAGCCACCGCTTTAAAAGTAGCACAGAATACACTCACATGGTTAACGTGCCACTATTATCGAACGGCGTGGTTCAAATTTTGTGTAAACAAACCATAATATCTCACGAACGCTGTACACATCGCATGGCCACCAACGTCTAACACGATTCCGACGCTTTATGTTATCGCAAAATGTCTATGTTCTCCAATTTCAGAGGCTGTCGGCTAACATATATAACAGCTTGTGAATTACAGACCTAATCCCATCCAGCCAGCCAAAATCCGTTCGCCATATGTTGCATTTGAATTCAATTATTTTTCAATGTTTTCAACAGAATGAGAAAACTGTGCCGTGCAACTGTCGGTGTTATACTCGTCTATCTTTTGATAACGGTAACTGTCTTATCAATATCTTTCATCAAATCACCGACGCTGAATAAAAAAACAAACAGGTAATAATATTTCATTTCTCAAAATTCCAGATTTCACAATTGACATGTCTCTCTCTCTCTATATATATATGAAACGTTCACGGCAGTGTGTATAACGGGGGCAAACTGGGGGTAATTTGAATAACAGCAAATCGAACACAATTAGAGTGGTTTGTCGAAACACGACACAACTCTCTATAGTAAACATTTAATACACTGTTTTATGAGTAGGCCACACATAATAGGATATATTTTCAAAACAGCAGTATATTGTACAAGTCTCGAACACATTAAAGCACGGTAGTCGTCGCGCTGCGCATGTGCCGCATTTGTGTTGATAAACATTGGTTTTCCCACAATCCAATGCGCTCTTCAAATGAAAATCACAAGTATGAGGTTTGACCTGGGCG